GGACCACTTGTGCCTTCACCTTCCACATCTTTTCTAGCTCTTCTTTCAGCCCTTGGTATTTCTCAAGCTTCTCATGTTCCTTCTTCCTGATGTTGCTATCGCTTGGGATTGCTACATCTAGCACTACGGCCTTCTTCTTCTGTTTTTCCACCACTACTATGTCCGGTGAATATATATATGTATATATATATGATATTTGTGAGTGTGATGCTTTGATACATACAGTATATGTGTGTATTTATGGAATTTTAAGCACAAGTATTCCGGAGAGGACCATGGAGACACTACTACTGACTCTGCTGGGACTGCAGACGGTGATAGGAGTGGAGTGAGTATGAGTCAGACCAGTCAAAGAGGATTAAACACATTTTCTAAACCGTCTAGAGATGAGGAATGTGACAAAAGTCATGAGCAAGATTCACCTGTCTGAGTGCACACTGTACTGGTCACTGTTGAAAGAGCACATTAACAGTGGTTAAAATTATGGTAAATTCAGATTAAAATAATGCTCCTCCAAAGCATTAACTCACTGACCAACTCAGTTTCATTTGAATATGTATCTTTATAAACTGGTGTACATGCAAGTAATTGTGATTGCAACATACGTATAAGACAGTATTGTAGTGCTGAAATTCTTGCTGTTATTTTATTATAAAACAAATTATATAATTTGTTTACATATAGGTTTAATCTATTTGTATAAATCTAGTGTTTATAAATATCTAAGCATTTGACTTTGAGTCAGTTGAATGTACACTTTGTATTGTGTTCATAAGCTTCTGCTGGGAGAGTTTTTGTGTAACAGAATTCAGCCTCATGCCATATTATTACATAAATACTTGGTTACTGATGATATCTGAATATTAATTCCAGTGTGGTTTTATAAAGAATCCTAAATTATGTACATCCAGTAGAAGTTCATTCCTAACCATGAAATTCACAACCTTGAATTAAGTGCAAGGAAAAGTAAATGTGTGTATCATGCTCCAGACACTGGTGTGAATACATGATGGAGGAGAAAGTGGAGCGAGTTCTGTCCCCACGTCTACAGCTTGAAGTGAGCTGTTCTGAGGTGTATCAGTACAACACCCAGGGCTGGAGGCTAGATATGGACAGGATGCGTGTCATTCATGGAGGTGATGATGGCATCGCGCTCTACTACAAAAAACAGGGCCCCAAGGCATCCTGCTTCTTGTACAAGTAAGTGAAACATTGAATACAGTAATTGCCAGTCTGTTAAGTTTAGGTGGCTCAGAAGGGTAAGGCATGATCAATCAGGGTGTTCTCAGTTTATTAAAGGGAATTTAAGTTCAAAAGCATTACAGCTGTGTTGCTCGGTGGTTTCTGACAGTTGAAAAAGCCACTTTGGATAAACATGTGTGCAGATCACATTTCTTCCTGTGCGTCTTGGTGGGAATATGATGAGGCAAGTAGACTTTGTCACCTAAAAAGCAGCTCTGGATGGTGTGCAGAGGCTCTATGATCAACTGGAAGTAGCTGGGCAAGCCTATGTGTATACCTTCCTGATAAAATAAACTGAAAAAGAATTTAGTGCAGGAGTAGATGCCCTTTCTAAATGTTTGTCAATAAAATTCCTGTATGTTACAAGTTTTCTTTAAAGTTATGTTGACTCCGAGGGCTAGGCTGAGACTTAGGGGGGACAGGGCTTTTGCTGTGGGAGCTCCAAAGTTGTGGAATTCATTGCCCCTATACATTAGGCAGGCCCCCTCGTTGTCCATTTTTAAAGTGTATCTGAAAACTCATCTGTACCTTTTGGCATTTGACCCAGTATGAGGCTTTGTTTTGTTGAGGATTTTTGTTTTATGATAGGTGGTTGTTTAATCGTAGTTTTGTTTTATTATTGTGTTTTGTGCTAAGCACTTTGGTCAGCTGTTGCTGTGTTAAATGTGCTATATACATAAAGTTGATGATGATGACTCGCCAGGGGCATTGTGAAGGCCATCCTGGCCTTCACCATGTGAGGGCCTAAACCTCCACCAGCAGTAGACTTGGTTGGGTAATCTTTTGTTTTCTTTGTTCAAGTGTGTAGTTTTAAGTTATAGGTAAAGGTTGAGTAATGTCTGGCATTGGACACATATAGTTAACCAGTGAACATGCACATTTGATTAATTTTGTATTGTTAATGTGTGTAAGTTTTCTTTTGAGTTATGTGCTTCCTGGTCCATGGGCTTAACCCGAACGAGCGACGTGGGGACGTCCTCCTGTGGGCCCACCACCTGCAGGAGGATCCGTAAGGGGCCGGTGCATAGTGGATTGGGCAGCAGTCGAAGGCAGGGGCCCCGACG